TTTACACTTCAAGTGAAGTTTCAAAATTCCTTCAAATTGCACGCACCCTTCAAATTGCACCCGCATTTATAAGATTATCTGCACTAAATATTAGGCCAATTAATAAAATAGGTTGAATTAAAAAGACCTGATATTGATGACTTGAACAATAACTGTAGGTGTCCACTTAGTCACTCTAAGCTTACTGCTCACCATCAGCATGATCATCCTCCGAGTTGGATGATATTGCCACTTGTCTGTTTGTCTTTTGATCTCGCCTGGGCAAAAGAGACAAAACCAATCATTTTTATAGAATAAGCTAGATAAGCCTGTGTAAATGATTACATAAATTGGAAAAAAATTCGTCGCTTGACACACGATCACGGCTTGACTGATTTGAATCCGAAGAATCTGACCTGTCATCTGTTGAAATTCAATTTGATTAACCTACATTACAATTGGGTCAAATAAAAACCCCGCAAAAAACATCTACAACAGAAACAAAACAAGGAAAACAGAACAAAAAAAAGGCATAGTGTATTGATCATACCAAATGTCACACCCATGGCACTTGCCATGGCAGTAATATATTGTCTTGTAGATGCTAAAACATTGAAGCAATTTAATTTGTAGAGGGGAAATATGATACCTATTTAAAGTTCAAGTGTCATATGTTCAAATATTAATAAAATGCATTTTTAAAGATTTTTTTGGGCCATATTATCATCAGATGGACATAACAAACCAACAAAACTTAACAAATTGAATTGAAAATTAGAAAGGGTCCCTTCCCCACCCATAAAGAATGACCAGTCCTAAAACACTGAATCCTTTTCAAAGTCTGAAGTCTTTGAAACCTAAACATTTCTTATGCAAGTATACATGTAGTCATCTGTCAGGAAAGAAAAGTAAATAGAATATTAATCTAAATATAGAATGACAGTTCCAGATCTTGTCTCTTAGCTCCCTTTCTTTGTGGTGCAGTCAAATGGATAAGTGTGGAGTGGAGGGAAGCATGGCTTGGGTTACAGGGGCTGATGAAGATGATTGTGTGTCTGGGATTGTTTTGGCAGATAACAGTGTGGCTGGGGGTGTAGATGGGGATGCAAGGGTGCATGGTTGTATGGATGGTGATGCTGTGAACATGGATATAGATGGTTGTGTGGCTGGGGGTGCTGTGGACAAGGATGCAGATATGGATGGTTGTGTGGCTGGTAGTGTAGATGAGGATCCAGATATGGATGGTTGTATGGATGATTGTGTGGTTGGGGGTCCAGATGGGGATCCAGATGTAGATGGCTGTGTGGCAGGAGGCGAGGTTATAGCTGAGGTTGTTGCTGTTGCAACAAAAGAAAAAATATCCAAATTAAAAAATATATCTCATACATAACATTGGCACTGGGCCTTTCCAGTATGGATCTGGCACATTTTTGAATTTAGTTGGTTTTTGAAAACCAGAAATACATGGCTTATTACTGTTTTCAGGAATGGAAACAATCCATTTGGCAAAATCTAGAAAGAAAGAACCAATCAGTGCTCTTAGATTTACCTCAGGACTAACTCTACATATAATAATGTTTATCTAACATAGTTTTTATTCAACAGCTACACATAGTTGCCCTAGACACAGTGAAGCTTATCAGATCACCATTCAGACAGTTGAAATACATTTTTAGCCAACCATTTTGGAGATAAGGTATAGTGCTTCAGTGTTCTAAAATGTGAGATGTGAGATGGGATGCAGTCTTCAAC